TTTTTTTTTTTTTTAGCAAAACGTTCTGTCGGTGTTTGTTCTTTTAGCTAGGAGAAGTTCTGAAATAAACAGAGCTGATCTCGCTTCTGTTATTCTAAACAGATAATAGATAAAGACAAAATCAATTGATCCGTCGATATGAGGCCTTTACTCGCAGCTGACGAGATGATATTAAATATCATGGTCCATCTGAATCAGATCTGCAATGTGCGGCGCGTTTCTCCGGCCATCCGGCGGCGCGAGGCGGAACTGCAGGCGCGCGCGTCAGTCTCACTCATACACACACACACACACACACACACAGTCAGGTATCTCCTCTCCGCGCGCGCGTGTTTCTCTGTGATGCTCGCGGGCGTCGGACGCGCGGATGATCGCGGCTGATTGTCAGTGTGTGGAATAAGACGCTCTTCATCCTCATCTTCATCTTCATCCTCCTCATCGCGGCTGTTTCTGGCTGGAGTGACAGAAAGACATAAAACCTTCCTCCGGATCCTCAGCGCTCCTCTGAAGGCTTTTGGGTGAGTCTTCATCATGCTCTTCATCTTCTTCAGCATCTTCATCCTCCTCATCTTCCTCGTGCCGTACTGATGATTGTGTGCTTCTCTCGTGTGTTTCAGTCAGTGCTTTGTGATTCTTCAGCGTTTGGAGTAAGTACAGATACTTTCACTCTCTGTAAGTGTGTGTGTGTGTGATCGGGACATGTGTGCATAAACTCCCAGTGTGTGTGTGTGTGTGTGTGTGTGTGCGTATGTGAGAGAGAGATATGAGCTCAGACTCGTTCTGTCAGGAGTGTGTAAATGTGTGTGTGAACCGGACATGTGTGCAGGAAGTGTGTGTGTGTCTGTATTTCAGGTTTGTTGTTGTGGGATTTCTGTGTCTCTTATGATGATGATGATGATGATGATAAAAATGTCAGAAAAGCTTGTAGTGAGACACAAATAAGCCGCTGAGAGTGTGAGATGTGCACAAACTTACATCTGTGATTCTGTGAGGTGTGTGTGTGTGTGTGTGTGTGTGTGTGTGTTTAGCTATAATTTGGGACAAATTTGTCTCCAGAAGTGAAATCTGTCAAAACCTCTCTCCAGGGACATTCTCATTTGGATGATCATCATACTGTACATCATTTATTTATTTATTCAAAATTCTAAAAATGCATGACTTTAGTTCCCATTTGTAGCAGAAATCATTCCGATCTTCATTAAAATGGCCAGAGGTTTGATGAAATGTGCTGATTTGCATAAATAACAGCGTGTGTTTGAGGGAGTTTGTGGTCATCCTGAACTCTTGAGGATCGTTTTTGCTGATCCCAGTCGAATCTCTCGCTGTTCTCGTCAGTGTCTCGTGTGCTTTGTGATGTGAATTCATTATTTCTGTTCACATTAATGACTCTGAGCTCAATCAGCAGACACTCTTAATTAAAGTCAGCTGCTGCTCCACACCTTCATCATCATCATCACTTAGACTTTATTTAACAGTGATGACTGTGTTTCTCATCATTTTACACTCGAGCTGTCGTGTTGTTTTGAACGTCTCTGTCTGTACTGTATTTGATCCGTTCTCTCCGGGGCTCCGGTGATGGTTTTTTCTATCAGTAAAGCAGCGGCTTACAGAACAGTGGGATTTGGGACTGTGTGTGTGTGTGTGAGTGTGTGTGTCTCATTCATTTGGATTGTGGGATCCTGCGAGTGCTGTGATTACTGGAGGAGCGGCGTGGGGCTCGTGGATCGGGATTAGGCATGTCCTCCTCATGGATAACGCCCACGGCTCTCTGCTCGGAGAGCTGGGCTGTTTAAAGCTTGAAGCGGAAAGATAAAAACTCAAATGGAAAATGTTTTTAGGGGGAGAGCTGCTAACGGCTCAAATGTTCATGCAAACGGCGAGAAGGTTGATGTTTCTGAGTTTGAGATGTGCAGCGTTTGTGAAAGTCACGGCTGAGTCTGCGAACATCTCTTTAGATGTGTTTAATAACACTGCGGTGAAATGAAAGCGTTCGTGTTTGAGCTCAATTTATTCTGACCATTAAAATGCCACAGTCTGAATATTTCACAGTGTGTGTGTGTGTTTTACACATTTTGTGCAGTTATGTCATTCTGTTTAGCAGCCTCTCTCTCTCTCACACACACACTCACAACACACACACGCACACACACATGCACAAACACGCACACACACACACACACACACACGCACAAACAAACACACACACACAGTTTATATTGGGATATAGTGTCAGGTGATTTGACCTGCTTGCTGTTTGACGTTTTCAGGAGATTCACTTCCATCATAAATATGTATGTGTGCGTTTCTGTTTCTCTCTGTCTGTGTCTCTGTGGAGTGTAAATGAGCAGCTGAAATTAAATATTTCAGTAGCTGACACACAAACTAAATGCCATCTTAAAACTATATCTAACAACATTTTTCTTTTCTTTTTTTTTAATGATTTTTCATGTAGATTACCTCATATTAAATACAGTAAATAGTAAATGACTGCATTAAATATTTGTACTTCTATTTTTTATTTTATTTTATTTTTTCACACACGGGAAAATATCATTAAAATGGTGCAAAACAAAACCTAAACACACATTTTCCCTTTTACATTATCACATTATCTATCTATATATATATATGTCAGACTGATGAGTTCATAGAAAGAATAAATAATTAATTGAAATTACATAGTAAAACACAAATACAAAATGCTGAGATTGTCTTTAGATTTTCACCTCAAAACCAAAAGATATAAATGTTTTTTAATATATATATATGCATGTATGTATAACACTATGAAAAATAATTCTTGTGACAGATAAGTAAATCACCGAACAGACAAATTGTTTTTAGAAGTCGTCAACCTATTGTTAGTTTTTTCGAAGCATGATTGTTTTTATTATTATTTTTTAATTGGATTTGCCAGTAAATAAATTAAATAATTATAATAATAATAATAATAATAAAAAAAAATGCGTTACTTATTTGAAAAAAAAAGTATCTTGCATTGTGGTGAGAATTTAATGAAGTTCAAAATGTAGTCCTGTCAGTCATCATGATCACAAGCATAAGCAGCAGCAGTGACAGCTTTTCCAGCATGCCTCCGCCACCCCATCTCTATTCTAAGCTACAGTACCACATTCGATCCAGTTCTGTAGTCCGGGGGTTTTGTTCAGAGCTCAGAATCATGGGACTCAGCCCTTCCTTCAAGAACAGCAAGCCAGTTTGTCAGGACAGGATGAGCAGATGAACTTGTGAAACAAGCAATGGGTTACTTGCTTCCGACGTCACCTGATTACGTCATGTTTGTCATCCCCAACCCTGCTGACCTATCACTTAAATTATGAGCATTATTATTAGTGCTGATTCGTTATATTTGTCTGAGTTATTTTCTTATTGTTAAAGCTGTTTTTTCTTGCTGGTTTTCATTGTCAGCAGCTAAGCTGCATTTGCTGTGGCAGTATGAATGTACTGTTATTTGTCATGCTAATAAAGCACATTAAAACTGAAACGGAGGGGAGGGGCGTTGAGGTGGACGGCAGGCTGGTCTCACTGTGTGATCCACCATCTGCTCTCCTCCGTTTGACTCGCAGAGGGAAAAAATGAGGAATGAACGGTAGAAAGAAACAAGCATATGAACAATGAGGAAATCAGAAACTATGAGAGGACGGCAGGCACAGATAGTCATGTTTCCATTCACCTGCTCCACCTTTGCTCTGATGAGACTAATTAAACCCAACTGCTACATGTCTCTCTCTCTCTCTTTCTGTGTCTCTCTGACACGCTAACATCCTGTCCATATGTTCTCTACACCCCACACACGCTGCCCAACTGAGATAACTCCACCCACTAGGTAAGATGACTCCGCCCATCCGATGATATAACTCCACACTGAGAGATGACTCAGACGCATTAGAGTGAGATAATCTTGGCCAACTCTTCCTCACTAGAGTGCAATAGCTAGAGCCCAATGGGTTGTGTGATTATTTGCCACAGTTTGGCACTATGAACAAGTTTGAGGAAACACACATGATCATTAGGTGTCATCAGTTCTCAGGGGGTTTGGGTGAAGAGCAGATCCTGTGAGCTTTATTCATGAGTATCCTCTGGCAGTGGTGCCATCAGCAGTCCTGTTCTCGCTATGGAGGAGACAGACAGTATAACGTGGCTCTTCATTTCAGCAAAACTGTGTGAGAGACACTGCCACTGTCCATTAGTCTGGACGCCTGTCTCCTCCACAGTCTTTTACTCCAGAGGGTCTAGGTCAGACCCAGCTTGTCCATCCACTTGTTCATTCTATCTTTACCACACAGGTGCATTCCCAATATGAAGGATGTCTTAAGTTGTAGGTATCAGATTGTAATCTTAAAAGATCCCATTTTGGCTAGGGTAAAGTTAGTTAGTTTGCTGGTTGTTTAAACTGATTTGGTCAAGCAGTGACTCAAGAGTACTGATATTTATCCCAGCAGCAGTGTAACATTTCACTGGTTGTATATCTCCACTTTGTCAGCCTTCACATTGCTCCACATCTGACTATGTTAGTGGTGTGAAGTGGAAGTGGAGTTGTTGTAGTCCATGCGTAAGTGTTTCCCATGGCTCTATGATCACTTGGGCCCTGTCCCAAATGGGACACTTCACATGCCCTTGCGGTCTCACGGACTTGGTCGCCACAGACCTGTGTCCATTAAGTCTACAAGGCCGTAGGGTGTCCTATTTGTCATTTTGGGATTCAGACGGGTCATCAGGGGTGACTCTATGCACCATCGATGCTCACAAGCTCATGGTTTGGCAACATCTACCTGACAATCAAAGCTCTGAATTAGGGCTGTCAAAATGGCTGGAAAACTAAATTCGAATTTTGTACTTAAATATTATCAAAATTCGAATTACATTAAAATTTAAAATGCATAATTTCAGTTAGGGTGAAGAAAAGCTTTTGGCTTCTCTCCTGAGGCCACAAGAAGGCGCATCATTCAAAGCATAAGATAACATGACTATCTGTGAAAAAAGTGCATAGTGTTTAAAATAATGTTTATAAACCATATATAATTAATTAAGTTGCTTAAACAACTATTAACAAAACAGCATCATGTATGTATGCATAGTTTAATACAAAGGGCGGAAAGCCAATCACACAGAGTACATTTTTTATTTAAAAACATGATTCCCCATCCCGCTCTTTTGTGCGAGACGCGAGTGCAACAGTAATAGATGTCCGTCTAGAAAATGCGTGAAATATGCGTTCTGTATGAACGGCTTGGTTTCAGTTTTGATGTAAACAAGATCTTCTCCGCATCGATGTTCTCTTTTTCCGCTATATTTTTAATGAACAACGCAGCAGTGCCGCATCTAGTGGCTTCAACTGGATAGGCTAACAAAAACATTATAATGCAAGGACACTTACATCGTCATCGCATCTCGTGCGCCACTGATAAGGCTGCCTCCTTAACGCACACCTAAAATTCGAATGCAAGATTAAAGATGTGGATATTTATTTTAAATTCGACGAATATTCGAAATTCGATTTTTTTTTTGACAGCCCTACTCTGAATAAGTGAAAGTGGGGGTTGCAAGGTCTTAGGGTTTCATTTGGGACAGGCTTTCTATCACTAGTGATTGCTGAGCAGGAAACAGAAAACCTGGAGTAAATCTGAGT